AAGTCAGTGTAGTTCTAGACCAAGAATAAAGCCCTGTAGCTCTGGTTCAGTGCAGTACCCTCTATTCTCATTTTTCTTGTAAAGAGTGTACATCAGTTTGGCAGTTTTTTGTCAAGAATCTTTAAAATACTTTGAGTATTCTAGCCTAAGAAAATAATCCCAAATGGGCCAAACTTGGGGGAAGATGTGAGGACCAAATGCATGAAGAAATACTCTGAAGCATTATTTTTCTGCAGTGGCACGACATCTCAAGTGGCCATAAGAACGGCTCCCTCTGTCCTCTTTTACACGTCTTTGCTCAAAGGTCACCCTCATTGTGATACTGCCCCTAACCAGTCTATTTAAATTGTCCCCCTTTGTCTAACTCTATCCATCCCCCTTCTTCTGCTTTATTTTTCACTTGACACTTACCATGTCCTAATACATTACACAGTTTACTTATTTTTGTGTTTACTGACCAGCTCTTCATTAGGTCAGACATTTCAAGAAGGCATGAATTTTTGTCCCTCGTTCACTGATGTATTTGCATCACCTGGAACAACCCTGGGCAAACAGTACGGGTTCAAAAATATTTGCTGAACAAATTAATGAATGGACGATTTCCAAAACTAAAAGACTGGGTTGGTAAATCAGGGTATGATACTTGCTTCTATCTAGTATTTAAAGTGGTCATCAAGTTTAGAAAGCAAAAGTGAAAATCTTTGGAAACATGCCATTAAGTGGATAGAAAACAATATTCCAATTCAAATATATACTTAGAAGGGAACTAGGAAAAACTATGTACCAGAAAAAAAAGATCGAAAGGGAATGCAGAAAGAGAGTGGGTTTTATGCTTTGTTTTCCATTTTGTTTTATTTGAGAACCGCAGGAAAGTACAGAAAAAGGAAGTAAGTGAGAGAGGATGAGAAAGACCTGTGGTCATGAATGTTCTGTCTTCCCCGGGCTGGGAGGCCATAAGCCTGTGTGCTCTTTGCCTGAATTCCTGGCATCTTTGTCTAAAATGAAGATGAAAGTTTTCAGACAAAGAGCATATCAGGGCTCAGTTTTCCTCTGATTTCTAGAAACATACAGTTGCAGAATTGGCTCAGGAACTGGCAAGCTAAGAAATTCAATTTTAGCTAAATATTCAGTATTCTTCCCAGTTCTCCTTCTCCATCCATGATCCATGGATCCCCTGAGTTCCCTTTGACTGTTTATCCGTGTCCGTTTGTCTGGTTGTGGTTTTGTTTTTAAACTCTACTTTTGTCCTGTCCTCCTCCCACCCCTATCCTTGTCCTAGGCACACACATTGTTTGCCCTCAGTCCCTGGTTTGTGTGTGGGTGTTTCCCTGAATAAATAAAGCTCTGGTGCTGAGAAAGTTCAAGGCCAGAGAAATCCAAAGCGGCCGAGGACCCCTAACAGTTGTCCCTGCGTTTCTGTGAATCGTGAGCCGGGGGCCTGCATCCTGGTTTTCCACCCGCTTTCCCCACACGCCTCTGGGCCGTTCCCTCCCACCTTCTGTTTCTGCAGAGACGTCATCAGTGCTTCCTTTGCTGTAACACTTTTACATCTTGAGTAACAACTTGCGTAGA